TCCTGCATCGTGCTGTGTTCTCTGCTGTGTGAATGTCCCTTTTTGGATGTTCTGTGGCTATGACTGTGGGTGGGTTTGGGTGTATGTATGGGGAATCCACACCTTCACAGTTCATGCTGAGTTTATACCACCTAGCCCTTTGTCATGCCTCCTGATCATGACTGCACCTGGACTTCTCACCTTGTAAAGCAAGGTGTAGAATCAGGATGTGCTTAGTTGTGTAAGCCTCGCAATCCCATCTTCAACTAAGTGTCCATGTGGCTTCATAGTAAGATGCCACCATGATGTTTTCCGAAGGATAAAGGAAATGAACTCATCTGTAGGTGCATTTTTCCATGTTCTTCTATCTGCCCTTTCTTTATTTCAAGGAGTGAAAGGAGCAGGGCATAGGATGCAAGCACAGTAGATCATGCCTATCTTAAATGAAGAGGAGACAGGGAGAGGACTCATTGCAAGAAAGTGGCCTGACAGGAACTGAAGACTCCTGTGAGAACTCTGCCAATGACACTAGTGAGCCAGTCAGCTGATACCAGTCACTTTGCCAGTCAGCTTGATATACTGAAAACCACAGGAACTGCCAGGAACATCTTTGGAAATCTGAATCAGACTGGTTGGTACTGTTAGTACAAGGGAAAAGCCTTTACTTACAGCTTTGTGTGCTGTCATTTCAGGCCAATACTATTCAGCTTTCCTGAGATCCACCCATACTTTCTCCTTGGATTAGCCCCACTTTGCTCAACTGAAATGAGCTCAAAGTTTACCCTTAACAGAGAGAGCTCATCTTTATTCCGTCTTTTCTTTCCTGCATTTTAAGAGGTTGCTGTTCTTAGTCTGCTGTCCCCTATTGCTATCACCTAGCTTCCTTTCTCTGAGTTCTTAGAAATAGGAGTTTACATGCACTTTTTAAATTATAGAATCACGGAATGGTTTGGGTTGGAAGGGACCTTAAAGATCATCTTGTTCCAACCCCTTGCCATGGGCAGGAACACCTTCCACTAGATAAGGTAGCTCAAAGCCCCATCCAGCCTGGCCTTAAACGCTTTCAAGGATGGGGCTTCATGAAATGGTGATAGGCTGAGAAAGTTGGGGCTGTTCAGCCTGGAGACGAGAAGGCTGCTTGGAGACCTCATAGCAGCCTTCCAGTATCTGAAGGGGGCCTATAAGGATGCTGGGGAAGGACTCTTCATTAGGGGCTGTAGTAATAGGACCAGGGGTAACAGGTTAAAACTTAAACAGGGGAAGTTTAGATTAGATATAAGGAAGAAGTTCTTTACTGTAAGGGTAATGAGGCAGTGGAATGGGTTGCCCAAGGAAGTTGTGAATGCTCCATCCCTGGCAGTGTTCAAAGCCAGGTTGGACAGAGCCTTGGGTGACATAGTTTAGTGTGAGATGTCCCTGCCCATGGCAGGGGGGTTCGAACTTGATCTTAAGGCCCTTTCCAACCCTAACTATTCTGTGATTCTATGATTCTATAATTTAATTGGAAAATGAGCATTACACAATGTTATATAGCCGTGAACATAGCTGCAATTAGAGAGCTAAGATGTGAAGGTAGACAGTCCATATGGTTTTGATACAGTATTCTACAAAAACTTTGTTTTTCTCTTACATAAGTTACTTTGTACTGTCATTATGTTGCAATTTACCAAACTTCAGGCATTAGGCATCACCAAATCTGTTGTACGTCTTGATCACTTAGCACTTCAGCTTCTGTATTAAGGACCGGACACTTCATTGAAGGTTCTGAGAATTTGAGACAGCAAATCCAGAAGAATTGTGCATTGTAAATATCATCATTCCTATAAATTTCTCCTTTCTCCATGCGAAAAACATCCATTGCAAACAAACTGGTGGGGAAGAAGTATGTTTTTAGCTCGGCACTTTCACTGTCAGCTTCATCATGTTAAATTAATGGTACTTGGCTGCTAACAGATAGTACAGATGGATAACGCTGGCCATGCATTTTCCCAAAAACACTTCACTACAACTTGCTTCAATCAGTTCCTCAATTGCAGAGATCCATTTCATGGAAGCTTCTTTAATCTTCAGACCTGTTGGTCTGCTCTTTGCTGTGTGACAGTCAAGCACTGCAGCTTGAAGATAGTTTTGAGGAGGAAAAGCAATAGTTACCAAAACAAAGTTGCCAAAAAGTTACCAAAACAGGTAGGCTACAACTAGAATCCTACTCCAATCCCAACTTGTGCCTTTTTTCATGTGGCTGTGTTTGTAATCATTGATGTTTTGTTGTATTCTTCTCATGGACCAGAAAAGGGCAACAAAGCTGGTGAAGGGCCTGGAGCACAAGTCTGATGAGGAGCAACTGGGGTTGTTTAGTCTGGAGAAGAGGAGGCTCAGAAGGGACCTTATCACTCTCTACAACTACCTGAAAGGAGGATGTAGAGAGGAGGTGGCTGGTCTCTTCTCCCAAGTAACAACAGATGGGACTAGAGGAAATGGCCTCAAGCTGTACCAGGGAAGGTTTAGACTGGATATTAGAAAAAACTGCTTCACCAAAAGGGCGGTCAGGCATTGGAACAGGCTGCCCAGGGCAGTGGTGGAATCACTGTCCCTGGAAGTGTTCAAAAACTGTGTAAAGGCCCTTAGTGATTTCGTGGTGGACTTGGCCATCCTGGGGCAACAGGTGGACTTGATGATCTTGAACGTCTTTTCCAACATATTTGCTTCTGTGATTCCAAAATTAATGTGAAATGTTTTGAGTTTGGTGTGTTGTGATACTTGTTTTTATTTGTCAAGCTACTGCTATCTGTGATATTCAAGCAGATCTTACTGCTACAGCTGATGTCTGCATGGCTGACATACACTTGTTACTGCGATCCAGAAGTGTGTTTTCTGTAGAATTCTTTTACTGTTTATGTAGCATGTTTGGGAGTTTGAGCAGACATGCTTATGGTCTTTGGAGTGATGTTAAATAGGGAATCAGCTTATATCTGCTACAGAACAGTCCATGCTATTAATCATAGTTAAAAAGAATCATGATTCTGCAGGATGGACAAAAGGGGAGTGGCAGAGAAGGATTCTGGGGGGGAGATTTTCGGAAGTGGTGGTGGTGTGCTCAGCATACTTTCTTTAGAATGTTTCATACAGAAAGTTTTCATTTTCAGATCATACATTTTTAGTCCCTAGGAGAAGATGAAATCTCTTAATCTGAATAATCCAGTTTGATTAGAATCAAACACCTAGAGGTGTACATACTGAAATTTGACACAGTACAAGGAAACCAGAAAATTCCCTGGTATGGATTATAGACCAGACACTTTGCCAGGTGTATGTGAATCTCATACTGACTAGAAAAAATGTTTATCTCTGGCTTTTCATCCATTTATTACAAGTCTGTAGCAAGTCCCTAGCTTTCTATTTTGAATGGTGTATTTTTGTCTTTGGGGAATTCAGATTTCATCTTTCTTTTGAATGTGGTATGGATCTGTTTTTACTTCCATTATCTTTTGACTTTTGAACATTAATTGTTGAAAATGTAACTGGCCTAGTAAATATGCTGAATAATTGAATAGAAAAAGTTGTTAAGCTGTTAAGTAAGGAAAAATAAGTGGCCTGCAATGCAGCCAATAGTACGTAATTTTTTATAGTGTAGTATAGAATTCCAGCTGAAAAGGCTCTGGGTAATACTTCAACAAATATCTTCAAAGCCCATGTTTTCAGCTAGAAGTTGCAGAATATTCAGCCTTTTGTATTGCCATTGTATGAGCCTGGTTATCTGACAGTAAAAAAACATGGAAGGCATGAAACTGCCTAGACAGTTTGGAAATGAAATATAACTAGTCAGCCTTTCCTGCTTGCAGATTGTTAGATTAATAGCCGTGAGTGACAGTGACGTCTGAGCCAGGTTTCTATGCTGATAGGGAGGCTCCAGATAGCTGATTGAGAGGAAGCGGGAGGAACTTCCAGCAGTACTGTTGGGTCAACTAAAGCTGTTGGTATCAGTTACTGATCTCGGGCCAATATACATTGCTTGTGGAACTGTGGTTTTCATTTTCAGCAACAATTTTGGGGCCTTTTAGACCTAACAAACTTGTCACTGATGATTGACAGTATACCTTGGACTCTTGCTGCAGCTCACTGTCTCAAGATTTTATTCTTTGGGCTTTAGAGAGAAGCAGAGAGAGAAGCGATTGCAGCTGCATCTAAGTCAGAAATATAAATTAGTGCAAGTGCTAAGTCTCAGAACATTTAGTGTGTATAGACAGCTGGAGTAATTAAGCAGACACCATGATGCATTGGATCCTGAGCTTACCGAAATGATGAAGCTTTGACTTTCTCAGAATATTTAGGGATGCTTTCTTCGGTTTTCAAAATGGTTTTGGGCAATTGAATGTCATATTATGGTATGGTGAAAATGCTTTAAGTTGTTGAAAAAATACTAAGGCCTGACCTCTTTTAGCTCAAGAAAGAAATCTTTATTTGTTTTCTGGTGGTGCAATATGTAGAGTGGAGCTAACTGTTTTACTTAGCTTTTGTAAATGTATGAAGAAGCTGAACAAAGGAGATAACTATCAGTTCCACAGCTAGCTTGCTTGCTTGCCTGTTTGGTTGTAAGACAGTATAAACAGCCCCTTGAAGATATATTGGAAGAGCAGCTTCCTTTCCTAACAGTAGCTTGACTTAAGCCTGTCAAAATAAAGTTAATAGCTGATTTATGTTAATAACCTGTAACTACTAATCATTCTGGGATTATTTTTTTTTTTAAACAGAGCAAACTCTTGCCCATAGCATGCAACCTTGTTGAGTTGATTCCTTAGTACTCCACAGTATTAATATGGATCATTGTTGTTTTAACCTAAGTTTTTCTTCTTCATAGTAGCAGATGCTCAAAGTTCTTGCCACAGTTTTGTAGTATTTATATTTGATGGTTTCTTTTAATGTTAGAGATTTATTTTGTGACTGAAAGTTGAACATGGGTTATTACTAGCTGAATACTGCATGCAAGGGCAAAATAACTTAAATCTGTCTGTCTCATTTCCTAGGTAACATGCATGTATCACTGGCAGAGGCTCTGGAGGTTCGGGGAGGGCCATTGCAAGAGGAGGAAGTATGGGCAATTTTGAATCAAAGTGCAGAGAGCCTTCAAGAACTATTCAGAAAAGGTAAGCATTTTTAAAGACTCATATATACAGAACTGGAAACATTTTCTTCTGTCTTGTACCTTTGCACCCTCTGAAAGTGTTCTCTGTTGGATACTTCATAAAGATTCCAAAGGGATTCCAAAGGGAGATGTGAGCAGAAGCTGTCACAAAGCGTTTAATTTCTGATCAAACTTGACTTAGCATTATAAATAGGAAATTATGTCAAGTTCTCTGAAATATTTTTTTGGCAGGCAAATTATGGGTAGTTTTGATATCACAGACAAATTTTCTTTTTCCTCTTTACCAGCAACCTCCCAGCCCATGCGTGTGAGGAGTGTTCCTTATTAGGAATGCTGAGTTTATTGTTGCAATTTGACTAACTGCCCCATCCCCCTGTTTCTTGTATTGCAAGAAAGGGAAAGCTGGTACCTTAATTTCCTCTCTCTTTCTCATCGGAGAGAGAATCAGAGGAATGATTTTTGTTTGTTTGTTTTTTCTGAAAGAGGACAGGTTGTTGAGACCAAGTGAGACCTTGACTAAAGAGAGATCTTGAATGATTAGAGCTTTACTCTTGTATGCTTTACAAGAATCAACACGTTGAGCTCCATTTTGAAATCTGCCTGAAAGATCACAAGTTGTCGTGGTTTAAACTCAGTCAGGTAATTCGTTCGCTCACTTCCCTCCCTTTCTTGCCCTCCCCCTGCTCCCGGAGGGATGGAGAGGAGAATCGAAAAGAATGCAACTCCCACGGGTTGAGATAAGAACAGTTTAGTAACTAAGGTATAACACAAATCACTACTGCTACCACCAGTGATAATAATGATAAAGGAAATAACAAGGGAAGAGAATACATCATCTCACCACCAGCCGACCGATAACTCGCCCCCCAAGCCCGACCAAGCTCTGACCGATACCTCCTCCAACCCTGCAGACTCCCAGCCCTTCCGGCTAACTCCCAGTTACATCCTGGGCATGACGTGCTGTGGTATGGAATACCTCTTTGGTCAGTTTGGGTCAGGTGTCCTGTCTCTGCTTCCTCCCGGCTTCCCCTCCTCCCTGGCAGAGCATGAGGCTCACAAAGTCCTTGGCCAAACCAAAACATCGCTTGTTATCAGCTCCGTTCCCGAGCTGAAAGTCAAAACATTGCACTGCACCAGCTACCAAGAAGGGGAAAAATGACTGCTACTGCTGAACCCAGGACATTATCCACCCCTTATTCCATACCATTCACGTCATGCTCAGATCCCACATTTTCAGTATACCATCACTCTTATCTCAGTGCACTCTTATCTTAGTGCATGGACCAGTCCCTATAAAGCTGCTGAGTCCATCTGGTCCATGATGTCAGGCTCCATCTCTTGTAACAGCCTTCCAGAGCAGGAGAGACTGTGTGCAGTGTTCACACTCGTGAATAACCTGGGCAATAGTGTCCATTGCTAAGTCCACCCCTCGATCATGAGTCCATATCTATGTTGCATCTTTGCTCTGATGGCCTGAAGTGCCATGGGCCCACCAGGCTTAAAATAATTCACTGTCCCCTTAAGCAGTTTCTGCAGCTTGTTGCTGGGGACTCCATACAGCTGCCTTCCATCTCCGACGCTTCCAAAGCACTGGAGGGACCCAGTGGACTACATAGTTGCCCATACTGTCCCACACACCCTGCCACTCATGACTGTCCAGCCTTGGGGAAAATCTCTTGGTCCCCCCATATCGTCGTCTAACCCCAGACAAGACCCAAACCTGACTCTGCTTAACTTTTGAGATCAGACAAAATGGTTGTGGGTAGAACACAGTCTGTGTGTGTGCCAACATGCTGATCCCCATCACAATCAGCAGGCAGGTCCCAAGGACACCCAAAGGCCATTCAAAACCTTCAGAACTCTCACACGATGCTGCTGTACTTGTCACTGGGGCTGGTGTAGCTGCTGTGCTTGCCGGCTCTCCCACCACCAGCTTCTCTTTTCCTGAGTCCGGCTCTTCCTCCTCTCCCTTGCTGGGAAATGCTGCGTGGTCTCCTGCATCCTCCTGGGGCTCGGCAGGCGGCTTCCGGGAAACGCTCTCGGCCGTCGCGGGGCTCGGTTCGGCCGCGGGGCTCGGTTCGGCCGCGGGGCTCGGCTCTTCCGCGGGGCTCGGCTCCTCCGCCGCCTTCTCCCGCTGCTCGGCAGCCCCTTCTTTCTGCTCCTCGACCGCCCCAACCTCCTCCACTGGCAGCCGTCCCCTCGCGGCCTCCGGCCCCGCTCCTGCCGCCCCTTGGTGCCCGGGGCCGCTCTCCCGGGCCGCTTCGGCTGCCGCCGGCTCCCGAGGCCGCTCCCCCTCGGCTCCCCGCAGCCTCACGAAGATGGAGAGTAGGGTGAGGGCCGGGACGGTGAAGAGCAGCCGGACGGCCAGGTACAAGTCCACGGCCACGTCCGTCCCGCCCTGCTGCTGGAGCCCACCCGTATTACAAGCCATTGCCATAAAGCACAGTGAGATAAGAACCTTAGCCCAGGCCCCATACTTGATAAACACTAACACAGCAAATACCGGCTCTACGTAAGTTACAACATTCTGAAGCTGTGAGATCAACAAGAACAACTCTGAGAGCCAATAAATCGTCATTGTGATGAGTGACTATTAATCCGGTCAGATCTGTCGTTATCTCAACCCTTCGTGCCCCACGTTGGGCGCCAAAAAGAACTGTCGTGGTTTAAACTCAGTCAGGTAATTCGTTCGCTCACTTCCCCCCCCTTTCTTGCCCTCCCCCTGCTCCCGGAGGGACGGAGAGGAGAATCGAAAAGAATGCAACTCTCACGGGTTGAGATAAGAACAGTTTAGTAACTAAGGTATAACACAAATCACTACTGCTACCACCAGTGATAATAATGATAAAGGAAATAACAAGGGAAGAGAATACATCATCTCACCACCAGCCGACCGATAACTCGCCCCCCCAGCCCGACCAAGCTCTGACCGATACCTCCTCCAACCCTGCAGACTCCCAGCCCTTCCGGCTCACTCCCAGTTACATCCTGGGCATGACATGCTGTGGTATGGAATACCTCTTTGGTCAGTTTGGGTCAGGTGTCCTGTCTCTGCTTCCTCCCAGCTTCCCCTCCTCCCTGGCAGAGCATGAGGCTCACAAAGTCCTTGGCCAAACCAAAACATCGCTTGTTATCAGCTCCGTTCCCGAGCTGAAAGTCAAAACATTGCACTGCACCAGCTACCAAGAAGGGGAAAAATGACTGCTACTGCTGAACCCAGGACACAAGTATATAGAGCGAAACCATTTAAGACGTTGTCCTAGGTCTAAATTCTTTTTGAGAATGAAGTCTTCACTGAAAATAAGAACTGACCCTTTCTTGACATGAGAGCAGTGCAGAAAAGAGTTACCGTAATGACTCTGAAAGCTGCTTGCAGGCGTTGATAATGAGAACACAGACTTCCTTCAGCGGGACAAGTACTGAAAGATGAGAGCACAAACTGGAAATCTGCCCTAGGGCTTCTGGTATGTGCTTTTAATGTGTTTGTCAGTGAAGACTGGCTAAGGTGGCAGAAGCTTCTGGTCTTGTCTTCCTATCAGTGAAGACCAAAATACAAATTCATATAAAATCAGTGCCAGAAGAATCTGTTTCTTGTTGGAGGTGAAGCTGTTTTATTGAGTTGTTTTTCAGTTATTTCAGCAAACTATTTTTAGTTTCATGCTATTAATTAACCTGGGATGTAGCTTGGTGGTAAAATGCACTTCAAGAGACACCAAATGAGAGGTTTACTATATAGCTAAGGCTGACAATGGCAATATAATTTCTCCCATCAAGATTAGGATAACCAGATAGTCTTTAATGAAGATTTGGCTTTGCAAAGGAAACAATATAGAAACTTTTTTGGTCATCTTGAATATCAGTTTCTGTGCTGGCTTGTAAGGATGCATTGCAGAGATGCAGGAACAGGGAATGCAGAGGTTCCTGTAGGCTTGTCTGACTCAATTTTGTTCTTTAGTTGTGGAGGACTTACAACGAACAGGTGTCCTAGAGGAATCTGTTTTCCTTGGTCAAATTTCAGACCTAGCATACATCATGGAAGAACTATTTTGTGCCAGAGGGCAAGTTTCCAAAATTTTTCAGAACTGACCAATTGCTCCTTGGCAGAGATCAAAGACGCGAGCTTTTAGCTCCTGCAAGTCCATAGTGTATTTGGCTTTGACTAGCCTTATAGATGCTCTTCTTGCTCTGGAGTCCGTGAACATGTTGTTCTGTAACAAAATCTAAGTTTTGAGTGTTTTCTATATTAAATTTCTTAAAAAAAAATAAAATAAGGCATACTGTTCAACAGTCTGCTGTCCAGCTGTTTTGAAATGAGGGGGATAAAAAGGACGTAGAAACTATCAACTCTTAAATTGCTGTCTGTTGCCAGTCCCCCTGCACCAGCCACACAACCACACACACTTAAAGGAAATAGAGCCCAAGTAACCATTTATTTATTTATTTTAATCATGGAAAAGTTTTGCCACTCTATTCAAAGTTGAATATCCTTGCTAGTACTCCTGTCAACTAAGAACATATTCTTCAATTCATTTGCTACTTAAACTAGTTTCAGAAGAACAGGCAACAATGCCCCAAACCAACCTTCTGTTCCAGATTTAATGACGTATTTATGTATAAAATACTGCATGTGTTTTAGTGAGTATATTTTCTTATCCAGCAGTGAGTAAACGAAGGACGTAATGAAAATCCATGTCTTACATGGTTAATCACATACCACACCATGTCTAATTAATTCAGTGACTGGTGCAGAAATGGGCATAATTTTATGCCTATTTGTATTTGCAGTTCTAACAGGTGTTGAATTCTTCAAAAACACTTTACAAACTGATTTCAGTTGTTACAAGCAGTGAAAGATTAGCTTGAAATGCCCAGTTGCTTATCACTGATTTAGAAGATCAACTCTAGTAGCTGTCTTGTCAGCATATTGCAAGCTGTTAAATGGTGGAGAAAGACAATCTAGCACTCGGTTGCAGATCTGACATCAATTGGACTAGTGATGTT